GCACCACAGTTTACCAATTGCTTGTTGAAGGGCAGGCAGACTGATTCTAATTTTACAGTATCACAAATAAAGCTGTTATAAACACTGTGTGTGTTTTCATATGAATATTAGGTTTCATTTTTCTACAATAAATGCCCCAAAGTAGAATTGCTAAGTCATATGAAAATTGCAGTTTTTTAAATTTTTTTAAAGTTTATTTGGAAAGAGAGACAGACAAGGGGGGGCAGAGAGAAAGGGGGAGAGAGAGAATCCCAAGCAGGCTCCACACTGTCAGCATAGAGTTGGATGCAGGGCTCAAACTCATAAACCATGAGACCCTGACCTGAGCTGAAATCAAGAGTTGGCCACTTAATCAACTGAGCCACCCAGGTGCCCCTGAAGTTTTCTTTTATAAGAAACTGCCAAACTTCTCCAATACGGCTGTATAATTTCACATTCCCACCAGCAACATACGTGTAGTTCAGTTTCACTATATCCTCACTAGCATTTGCTCTGGTCACTATATACTATCCATTCTGATAGGTATGTAGTGCTATCTTACCATGGTTTTAATTTGCATTTCCTAATATATAATAATGTTGAATACCTGTTCACATGCCTACTTGCTATCTGTATGCCTTCTTCATTAACATATCTGTTCATATCTTTTGCCATTTTGCACTTGGATTTTTTACATGAATTTGGTTGACTTTTGAAAAAATTTTTTGTATTCTAGATATAAGTTTTTGTTGGAATGTAGTTCCCAAATATTTTCTCCCAGTCTATATATTATCTTTTCATCCTTTTCACATGGGTTTTCACAAAGCAAAAATGTTTAACTCTGATTAAATCTGATTTATCAACTTTCATTTTATGCATCATGTTTTGGGGTCAAGTCTAAGAATTCTTTGAAAAATGGTCTTTTTCATTCATGTGTTACCACTTCTCCAGGAATCTCTAGAAAAATATAAAGTCAAATCCATACCTCACACCATAACCAGAAAACCTCCAAATGAATAAAAAATATGTATATGAAAAAATAAAACAAAAATATTCCAGAATAATCTATAAATGAATTTACAGGTATAAATGAATACATAAGTGAATAAAATGGACAAAGGAAATAAGTAATTCACAGAATTAAAAAATTATAAATGGCACTTACACTTATGAAAAGATGCTCAGCCTCTCATAGTACAATAAAAACAAGTTAAAACTTAGACTTAAATACCAGTCTCGCATATCAGCTTGTCAATTAAAGTTTAGCCACATACTCTGCTGGCATATGTTCCAGTCAAGGTCATTTAATGAAATACAGGACACATTTAATGGGGTGACTATTTACAAAAAGAATACTTACAGAGCTGCAGATTAAGGGGACCCAGCAGGCAGAGAAATTAACAAAAGCTGAAAGTTACTACCACCTTGAGGCCTGAAGGAGCAAAGACAGTAAGCAACTACCAGAACCCAGAGACAACAGAAGTAGGAGACAGAGCTGGGGTCTTTGGTAAAGGGAGTCAGTCAACCCACAGAAACCTATGAAAAGAAATGAAAACAAGCTCCATGATCTCTCTCTCTTCCCTCTCCAGCCTCCTCATCTTCCATTCATTAGATGAACCCAACAAGATGCCGTAGGACAAGGTAGTCTCTTTTTAAAAATTATTTTTAATGTTTTTTAATTTATTTTTGAAGGAGAGAGACAGAGCATGAGAGGGGGAGGAGCAGAGAGAGAGGGAGACACAGAATTCAAAGCAGGCTCCAGGCTCTATGCTGTCAGCACAGAGCCTGAGACAAGGTAGTTTCTTAATGATGAACATTAAAATTAGCCTCTGATGGCCCAGATCAGTATGGAGAATGCTAAAGCGTAGATCAGGAGAAGCTATCCAGCACCACAAGGCCATGGGGAATCATGCCCTCTTCTCATTATTACTAAAAAAAGTACAAGGGCGCACAACCCCTATAAGAGGGTAATTACCAAAATGCAACTAACTATAGGACACCTAGCCTTTGTCCCAGCAATCCCGCTACTGGGAATTTATCTAACAGTTATACCTGCACTCATGGGAAATGTTGCATGTTCAAGGTTATTTACTGTAGCATGATACTTAATGTAAAAAGACTGAAAACATCTGGAGAAAAGTATGGAGGTTCCTCAAAAAACTAAAGCCTAAAAATAGAACTACTCTACAATTCAGCAATTGCACTATTAGGCATTTACCTAAAGGATACAAAAATACATATTTGAAGGGGAACATGCACCCAATATTTATAGCAGCATTATCAACAACAGTCAAACTATGGAGAGAGCCCAAATGTCCATCGACGGACAAATGGATAAAGAAGATGGGGTATACATATACAAAGGAATACTGTGTAGCCATAAAAAAGAATGAAATCTTGCCATTTGCAATGATGTGGATGGAGCTAGAATGTACTATGCTAAGCAAGATAAGTCAATCAGAGAAATACAAATACCATATGATTTCACTCATATGTGGAATTTAAGAAACAAAACAGATGAACATATGGGAAGGAGCAGGGAAGAGGAGAGAGGGAAACAAACCACAAGAGATTCTTAATGATAGGGAACAAATTATGGGTTGACAGAGGGAGGGAGGTGGGAGATGGGCTAGATGGGTGATGGGTACTAAGGAGGGCACCTGTGATGAGCACTGAGTGTTACATGTAAGTGATGAATCACAGAATTCTACTCCTAAAACCAATATTGCACTATATGTTAACTAAGTATTAAAATTTTTAAAAAGACTGAAAACCCACGTGTCCATTTTTAAAATAAAATAAGCTATAGTACATTTGCATAATGGTATATTATACAGCAGCCAAAAAGAATGAGGAAGACCTGTAGGCAGTGACATGGAAAGATTTCCAAGATACATTAAATTAAAAGTAAGATGCAAAACAGCATAAAGAATGCTAACTTTTTGTTAAACAGAGAGAAAAATAGTCTATATATCTCCATAAAAACAACAGGGGGATATGTAGAAATTTAATAAAAAGCTACCCTCATAGGAGGAACAGGAACAAGAATGTGAATAAGACTTCTCAATAAATATATTTTTATTAATTTTTTTTACATACCCATTGATTTCTATAAATTTTGTTGTTTGCATTTTACTGATTTATTTTTACTGATATGTATGATCCATAAAAATGTTTTTAATTATCATGTGCTATCTTTCTTAAAACCCTAAAAAAGAGTTATTAATGGGGAGGAAAATATCAGAGTTCACTTAAAGTCTCTCCTCCTCTCTCACAAATTCTACTATCCAAAAAATCTATCAACACAAATGTCCATTAGCCTGCCAGCCTTCTGAGATCCTCCATTACTTTATTATCCAAATAAAATTGTTTAATACCCCCTCCCAAATGCCACAAAGGCCAGATTTTTTCCTTGAGATGCCTGAGGATTTCTACTCTAGCCCCACTCTCAGCTTGAGTCTTGGTATCCACTTACAATCTGGTGTTCTCTACGTGCTGTTTTCTTTGGTCTTGCTTTACAGACATTTGTCCACATTCATCCCACTTTCATTTTTACAAAGCACCGTTAAAATGTGGTGGCGGCTATAACAGAGTTTTATGGGGGCACCTGGTGGCTCAGCTGGTTGAGCATCCGACTTCAGCTCAGGTCATGATCTCACCATCAGTGAGTTCAAGCCCCATGTCGGGCTCTGTGCTGACCAGCTCAGAGCCTGGAGCCTGCTTCCAATTCTGTGTCTCCCTCTCTCTCTGCTCCTCCTCTGCTCATGCTCTGTCTCTCTGTCTCTCTCTGTCTCTGTGTCTCGCTCAAAAGTAAATAAACATTTAAAATTTTTTTAAAAAAAACACAGAGTTTTATGGACAGTTGAAGGTTTCAGGGGGATGTCAAAGACTTGGAAACGGGGCACAGTAATTGCAAAAGTAATTGCTGGGTGCCCTTTCCCTGCAGTGCTGGCTCTGTCTACCAGAACCTCCAGGGGGTATGCACTGTCTTCACTGACTAGGCTATCTTACAACTCTGAAGGAGTAAGCTATAGAAACTAAGAAGGACATATTTGAATTTTATCTAGGAGAAATACAATTGACTTCCATCCTGTAAAAATGATGTTCTCAAGCCTTACACTTTATTCCCCTGTAGAATATCACTCAATTTTGCATCTATTTGACATTCCTGATTACCTAAATGTGTGTGTGTGTGTGTGTGTGTGTGTGTGTGTGTGTGTGTTCTTCAAATTATCCTTTAAACACATGATTTTAAGCTATGAATGAAATAAAATTCTTGTAACACAATCATGATTTTAGGTTTTTGAAAATTATGCTTTGGTAAGGGACACAACACACCAGGAAGTAAAATAAGAACTTCAAACTGAATTCTCAGACACCCTATTCCTGAAATTCTTAGCCACTCCCCATGTATTTCTCATGGGTCCTCTCTCTCCTTGGGCCATGGGCGCCTGCCATGTCTGCCCAGCGCTTCCTCTCCAGACCTTCCCCAACATCCCTCTCCTTCCGGTTCCCAACATCCCAAGCATGAGGGGACAATTTCAAGATGTCTATTTCTTTATAAGGTGGAGGAATGTTACTCCGCACACCTACCTGAGACTTAGCTCCTGGCCTCCTTTGGGTATGCAAGAGAGGCTTACTTAAATATTTTCTTCATAATTTAAAAAATGCACTTATTCCTGAAGTTAACGCTGCTGTTGCCTGAGAATTTCTCCTTTAGTTGGCACATACTTTCTCTTAGACATATGACATGTGACACCCTCTGCCCACAAAGCATGTGTGACACTCTAAACAAACAAACAAAAAACCTCTAACTATAACTACCCATAGCAAGAAAAGCCTCAGTATCCAATAAGAATTGGATTCTCATCAGATGCGCCATCGCTCTGGATCAGGTACTGATGTGGCAAATGAGACCCCATCGGCTTCTGCTTGGGTGACTTTGGGAGACTGAGTTAGACAACTTCCAAACTTCCTTCCAACCTTAAGATTCAAAGAGATCACCATAATATTTAGTTAAAACTAAGGTTTTACTCACTACAGTGACCACACTCTTTGTCTATGCAGCAAAGAAGTTGTTCAAATCCCTCAAGCCCCAAACCCCTGGAAGAGTCCTGGGAGACAGGAATTGCTCTAAGTCACCATTACAGTTCTTCTGTGGCTGTGTTTGACATCTTCGTCGCCTGCTGGTCATCTTTACCTGCCTCTGCTTCTCTGACTCTTGAACCTTCCCTGGTATTGTTCCTGAGCTATGACTGTGACATCACCACTCAGTGACATCACTCATGTATCACCAGGGCCTCCAGGCAGGCTGCACTTTTGTGCAGTCAAGGCTTTTCACTGAGACAGCAAGAGCTTTCTCATCATGTTTATAGATCTCCAGAGATTCCCCAAAGCATGGTCCTTCCTCTCTCTGGTTCCTAAATAACTTCTACTAAGGTGGCTTTTACTATTTTACTTTTCAGATTTTTTCCAAGGCCTGTCTCAAGGAACATGGGATATATTCACCCAGGAATAGGTCGGCAGATATTAACGAGGCACCTTATAACATCTAATTTAAAGCACACTTCCCTTGCATGACTCCTACCTACAGGTGAATTCCTTATAAACTCAGGGAACTCCCTTAAGATTAGAACGCAGTTTTGTATGCCTCCTGTTATGTATGTTTAACTTTAGAGATGTGCAGCCTATTCACCAATCTCTAACATCATCATCAATTAAACAGGGCATGTGACCACCCGTGAACCCATGCTAGAGTTTTCCAGGTATGTTCCTGTGAGGTCTTCAGTGATTCACTGGAAGTACTCACAGATCTCAGAAAACCTGTCATGTTACAATTATAGTTTATTATATAGCAAGAGGATTCAGATTGAAGTCAGCAATGGAAAAAGGTACATAGAGCAAACTCCAGCAGAAACCAAGTACATGCTTCTAGTTCTCTTGCAGTTCATGCATGTGACCAGCCTAATTCTCCCTGTTACAATGTGAGACGACACGCAGACAGTGTTGCCAACCAGGAAGGCTCACCTGAGCTTTGGTGTCCAGGCGAACTGCCCATGGGACTGACCTTCGGCCTCCAGTTCCTCCAGAGGTCAAGCTGATACCACCACCAGGTAACAAAGACACTCTTATCGAGCAGGATATTCCAAGGGCTCAGAGGTTGCCTTCCAGGAGCGAGGCAAAGGTCCATCTTTCTTTGGAATGTGCAAGGTACAGACAAACTGCAAAGTTGATTTTTTACTGTACAGTTCTGTTAGACTATCTCGTTTTGTCTTAATACAAAAACTACTTCCTCCAAAATGAAAATGCTGCTCAAATATCAATGTCAGTGTTTATCACCTCTTAGCCATATTCCCTTCTGACTTTTCAAAATTGAATAGTCCTAATCTTTGCAGCATGGTCTGTTGAGAGGCTCTTTATTCTTTTGGTCAATTTCTTATTTCAATAATTTTATTTGACATGAAGAACAGAACTGCACCTAATAATCCAGTATGTGCATTATACATAATTTATACATAACTTTAGGAAAATATGTGTTCAAAATATTTTCAAAATATCGTGTGTCCAAAATATTTGCTTTTGATGCTCAACATTTATAAGCATTTAGGCCAAAGAAATGGACCTTATGATGGTTATTTTATGTGTCAACTTTGCTAGATGAAGGGATATGTAGATAACTCATTAAATATCATTTCAATATTATATGTCTATAAGGGTATTTCCAGAAAATATTACATCTGAATTGGTGAGCTGAGTGAAGCAGATGGCCCTCCCAATATGGGTGCACATCATCCAACCTGTTGAAAACCTGAACAGAAAAAAAAAAAAAAAAGGTGGAGGAAAATTGAATTCTCTCTCTTTCTTGTATCTTGAGCTAGAATACAGATCTTTTTCTGCCCTCAGTAATCCTGGTTCTCAGGCCTTCAGAACCAGACCAGAATCTACACCATTGACTCTCTGGTTCTCAGGGCTTTGAACTACACCCCCAGCTCTTCTGGGTCTCCAGACGGAGATGGCAGATTGTGGGACTTCTCATAACTAGGTGAACCAATGCCTTCTTTTACATGTATAAATGTAAATACACACACATATATATGTATACTATTGACTGTTTCTTTGGCGAACCCTGACTAACACAGACTTGTATCTTTGTGAAACAGTCAAGACCTAGGTTCCCCTCCTAGTTAAAAGCAACAAATCCAGTTCATTCAATATATACATAAAGTTCAGGAAAGTTATCCATAAATGCATTATCTTGTGTTTTCACCAATCTACATCTAATTATACCTATTCAAACAGAAAATATGGATACTTAAATAAAAAATTAAAACTTCTACATATCACAAAAGGAGAAACAAATAGTTTCTAAAAACTTAGGTAATAATTGTAATATATGTGATGGAAAAAGTTTAGTATGCTTAATTTATAAACTCATAGAGAGAGAACTTTTGAATTTTTACAATTTATTTTAATTTTTTAATGTTTATTTATTTTTGAGAGAGACAGAGAGAGACAGAGTACAAGCAGGGGAGGGGCAGAGAGGGAGGCACAGAGTCTGAAGCAGGTTCCAGGCTCTGAGCTGTCAGCACAGACCCTGACACAGGGCTCGATCTCACAAACTGCAAGATCATGACCTGAGCCGAAGTCAGATAGCAACTGAGCTATCCAGGTGTCCCTGAATTTTTACAATTTTTAAATGTCCATGGGGATAAATGAAGAGTGATGGCTAATGAATATGGGATTTCTTTTAAGGGAATATAAAATGTTCCAAAATTATGGTGATGGTTGCACAACTCTGGGAGTATACTAAAAGCCAATGAATTGTACACTTCAAACGAGTGAATTGGTGGGGCACCTGGGTGGCCCAGTCAGTTCAGCATCTGACTTCTGCTCATGTCATGATCTCACAGTTTGTGCGTTCAAGCCCCATGTTGGGCTCTGTGCTGACAGCTCAGAGCCTGGAGCCTGCTTCAGATTCTGTGCCTCCTTCTCTCTCTTTCTCTCTGCCCCTCCCCTGCTCATGCTTGGTCTCTCTCTCTCTCTCAAAAATAAATAAACATTAAAAAATAATAATAAAAGTGGATAAATTATACGGTGTGTGAATTACACCTCAATAAAGCTGCTGTTGCCTTTAAAAAGTCCAACCTCTCTGTAAATTAAATAAACTTAATGGTAGGTCAATACATAATATGCTATTTTTTTCTTGTGCTGGTGAAAGTATAGAGTAATGGATACTTTCATACAACCTCGATAATAACGTAAATTGGTACTTTTCAGGAAGACAACCAAACTTTAAAATTATGCAGGTTCCTTAACACAGCAGTTTTACTTCTAGCATTTACCCCCAATAGATTGCAAATGTGCCCCCAATTCTTCACCTCTCCCTACATCCACTGCATTTTCCACTTGAGTATATTCCCACTCTGACTCTTGCCTCAGCCATGTAACTTCTTGGGGCAATGACATACTGACAATATTACACAACAAGGACAGAAAACGTGCCTATTTCTGTTAATATTCTCACACTTCTGTCATCACCATGAGTACATGCCCAGGCTGGCCTGCTGTATGTAATAAGAGGCCTGTAGAACAAGTCAAAACATCCCAATTGCCCCAGCCAACAGCCAGCCATTTCCTAGACATGTAAGCAAGACCAGAGGAGACCAAAAGAACCACCATCCCTAAACCCAGCCTAAATTACTGACCTAAGATTCACAGCCATCTCCCATATATATACCATGGCCCTTTACCCTTTGCATGTGTTAGTCCTTCTGTTTGAAATGTCTGTTCACAGGCATTCCATCAGGCAACACACATTCATGCCTTATTTAATCCAGGAATCCTCTGTAAATGCCGCTAACATGTAAGACATTTGCTTATATTTCTGCACACTTTCTTTGTAGTCATATATGCGTTCCATGCGTTTCTGTCTCTATATGACGAAGTCCTCCTGATCAAGGACTTAACTCTGTCTTTGGTTCCCAGTGTTTAGTCAGTGATGAAATGCTCATTAGGTGTTTGTTATATAAACTACTGAATTGACACTAGATCAGAGCTCTGGTTCTAGATTCATCACTTGGACAAATCATGCCTCCACATTTCAGACTTCTCTCCACTTCACAACATTGTTAGAATGATCAAATTTAATTTTTTTATTCAAGTATAAAGAACATATGGTGTTATATTAGTTTCATGTGTACAATATAATAATTCAACAATTCTATACATTTCTCAGTGCTCATTAAGGTAAGTGTACTATTAATCCCCTTTATCTATTTCATCCATCCCCCCTCCTACCTCCCTTTTGGCAACCATCAGTTTGTTTTCTGTATTTAAGAATCTATTTTTTGTTTGTCTCTTTTTTCCTTCGTTCATTTGTTTTGTTGCTTAAATTCCACATATGAGTGAAATCATATGGTATTTGTCCTCTGGCAAGGGAAACAAAAGCAAAATTAAACTATTGTGACTACACCAAAATAAAAAACTTCTGCACAGTCAAGGAAACCATCAACAAAACAAAAAGGCAATATATCGAATGGGAGAAGATATTCGCAAAATCATATATCTAATAAGAGGTTAATATCCAAAATATATAAAGAAATTACATAGGTCAACACCAGAAAAAATAAAACAATCCAGTTAAAAAGTGGGCAGAGGACCTGATGGACATTTTTCCAAAGAAGACATAAGATGACCAACAGACATATGAAAAGATGCTCAACATCACTAACCACCAGGAAAATGCAAATCAAAACCACAATGAGATGTCACCTCACAGAATGGTTAGTCAGAATGGCTAAAATGAAAAACACAAGAAATAACAAGTGTTGGCAAGGATGAAAAGGTACTCTCATGCACTGCTGATAGGAATGAAAGGTGCATTAGCCACTGTGGAAAACAGTATGGAGGTTCCTCAAAAAATTAAAAATAGAATTATGATACAATACCATATGATCCAAAAACTCCACTACTGAGTATTTACCCAAAGGATACAAAAACATTAATTCAAAAAGATATATATATATATACCCCTATGTTTATTGCAGCACTATTTACAATAGCCACATGATGGAAGCAACCCAAGTGTCCCCCAATAGACCAATGGATAAAGAAGATGTAGTATGTAGGTAGATACATAGACAGATAGCTTAGACAGATAGATAATAGATAGATAGATAGATAGATAGATAGATAGATATAGATATATATAGATATATATTCCATTATTTATATAGATATCTATATCTATAGATATAGGAGATGATGGGTGAAATAAGGAAAGAGATTAAGGGTACACTCATTGTGATGAGCACTGAGTAATGTACAGAATTGCTGAACCATTATATTGTTCACCTGAAGCTCATATAACTGTATGTCAATTATACTTGAATTCTAAAACATTTTAATAAATAACTAAATAAGATTAACCAAATCCAAATTGTCCCCTCCCCCCCCAAAAAAAAACTGTCATGAGACAACTGAGAAGCACTGAGCAAGCATGGATATAGACTTACATAAACAAAGAAGAGAATTAACTGCTCCAAGAGCCATTAACTACAATCCTGTTATAAGAAGATGAAGTTTCTTTCTATTTTGCAACATGAAGCTGCCCTCAGTGAAAGGAGGACAGTGACAAAAGCAAAAAATGACTCCATCTGAGACCACAGTCAATCTTAATGGAATTCCTGGAAGCCAATGTCATGACCCTAAACCTCTTTAAAGAGAAAAACGAATGCAACCACAAATGTGAAAGAAGGGAGGGAATGGTTCTTATAACTTTCCTTTAGAAAATAAAAAACTCAAGTAAATTCTATAAAAAGGGAAAAACAAAGCCTCTCTTGGAAAATAAACTATAACACTGGCAATGGCTTTTGATAACAGAACATATTGACCAAAACTTATTAGGAGAAAGAAAATTCAATCAAAGCAAACATACTGAAATAAGTAAACGAAACTTGCAAGCAACATCTTTGTTGTCACAAAGACAGACGTAAGTAACATTGCTGCTAGTCCTTTGTAAAAAGGCCCATAAAATAAAGGAAACTTTTTTTTTCTATAAAGCTCTTCATTTTCCTATTAATGAAATATAAGGAGGGATATGATCTGGAATTTT